ACTGCTACTGCTACTGATACTACTGCTACTGCTACTACTACTGCTACTACTACCACCCTGGCCCATGTGTGGCTCAGACATTTCAGACTAAGCTCTGAGCCCTTGCCTGAACCCTGCCCCGAGAAGACTGAAGCCAGGTGAAGAAGTGTTGATTTCCTACGGCAGCCTGTCCAACCCGCTGCTTTGGCGCACCTACGGATTCACGCTGCCATGCAGGTGCGCCGGGGGACCAGACCCTTTTGCTGAACCCTGAACCCCTCCATTTTATGTTCAGCTAAAGTGTCCAGGCGGTGCAGGCGGTAAGGTTCCGGGTTGTGTGGCATTCCAAGTTCTTGGCTAAAGGTCTATCTTAGTCGCATCGCGGGGGACAGGAGGGCATGCTTGGAGTGCCGTGCTTGGACTGTGCCGTGATCTCCCTAGCCCTCAGGCCGTTGTTTACGTTAATTTTGTATGCAGCTTGTCTACGTAGGTATCATGGTTAGTTTGTTGTCTGGCGGTGAGGGAGATCGTTAAGGAACCCATGGGCGGGAGTTGTCGTTTACCATTCACTTAGGTAATAGAGATGTAGCTCAATAAAGCACGCGGGACCTTATCTGGTCCGTTTTCAATAGTAAAAGGGGGGGGCAGGTGGGAGGGGGGGCCCCCCCACGCCACCATGAAAATGATTGCTTTAGACCAACTTAGCAGGGGCCCTACCACAAGGTCCCGGCAACATTGAACGAGGTCGGGGGGAGGGGCCCCCCCCTCAGATAAGGTCCTGCGCTTTTCTTTGACCTAGATCTTTTTTTACTTAAGTGAATGGTAAACGACAACTCCCGCAAGCTCCACAGAGCTAGCTTTCGTGACTTGTGAGCTCCACGGCGCTCGGAAGCAGAGGGTCATCTCAGAAAGTGCTGCTTCTGCCTCGCATTTCCCTGAGGGCCGAGCCGAGCTGGACCTGCACCTTCTCCCAGGCAGAGCTCCGCGACGTGCCTTGACCCGGCTATCTCTGTGTGTCCCCTGTGCGGTTTTGAGGGCGGGGGTGGTTGTGTGCTAGAGTGGCCACAATGGATGGATCCCCATCCCAAGCCCCCCTGCAACATCGTGATGATCCGGTGGTGGTGATTCCAACTAAGGCCGCCGAGGGCGCTGAGGAGGTCGAGGCAGTCTCATCACTTCTGACTTGGGCTTGAACTCGAGCAGTTACCTGCTTCGGCCCGAAGCCGACGACGGGCCTTCTCTGAGGATTTGCCGAATCTGCACCTGGATACCTCACGTGTGACGGACGAGCTCGCACTGATGCTGCAGGCGGAGCTCAGCAAATGCTGTAGGATGTTTTGGGAGAAGTGGAGAAGATTCCATCATCCTGCCTCAGCCTAGCAGCATCTTGGCTACCCACGCTGCGAGTTTCATGTCCAATGTATCAGCGCTCACAGCAAGATGAAAAGCTTGGACATGCAACGTCAAAAGATCTAGCTGTGACTATGCTGGTAGGCTTCGGAGAATGGTGGGAAGTGGCTGCAGATACTTCTCGCCAGGCTCGAGTGCATCAACATGTTTTTTTTTTGTATGTGTTTTCCGGGAGTGGAGTATGAACAGTCCCCTCCATGACGATCGTCCGCTAGTGTGCGACGGTCCACTCTACTCAAACACCTTGTCTTTATGATAGTCCGCGTCGGCGGGATCAGTCGAAGTCGCTCTGCGGAAGGGATGTTCGCACGAAGCGCGCGCGGCCCGCATGCTTCGCAGCTTCGCTTCGCAAGTCCGAGGCGGCTGGAGCGGGGAGCGCTGGGAGCGGGCTCAGGCGCTGGCGGCTTTCGGCTCCCTGGCGTGTCAGGTCTCAGTGGCCACGGGGTATTCCAGCCCTACTCAGGAGTGAGACGCTTCCGATGGATGCCACTGACGACCTGACCCGGATCCAGCTCAGTGAGCTCGTTGGCAGCACCGAAAACAGGAGGATTCCGCCCACCAAGAGGCCACGATGTCTCATGTTGGACGGCGTTGTCCAAGGCACCTGTGCCTGCTCGCGCATGTGGACATCCTCAACGAAATGCCAGGCGGTTATCCCCTCGGCTTGCCAACAGAAGAACTTTGCTGGAAGATCACGACACTTTCGACGTTCGTCAGCCCGTTCACCTGACCTAGTGCCGAGTGTGTAAAATCTAGAGATGGGAAGTTGCTTGAAGTTGCTTGTGATTGCTCTTTCGGCCCAGAAGCCTCGCTTGATTCCCTGAACGTAACCCACTCCTCCGCTCCATCGTGGCACTTGGCTATGCTTGGTGTGCAGCCCAGGCCAGGGAGGCGCTGGCAGGCGACTGCCCGCTGATCTGCGCGCCCGCTGCGAGGCCACGATGTGGGACTCAGACTTCCAGCTAGGTGTTTGGTTGCGGGGATGATGTCAAAAGGTCTTCAAGCTGCTTCCCGCGCTGCGCGCGGAGGGTTTGGTTCGGGTGAACTGTTTTTTGGAGATCCAGAGGCCTCCATCTGGTGCTATCACAGAAGCCTGGACCCTGAGGAGCTGTGGTTGGGACCACAGGTCACAACTGGAACCAATTGTTTCCTGAACGAAGCCGTCCGAAGTCTAGGTACAGAGTCCACAGGGCGTCAAACCGCGGCCCTCATCGCAACGACGAAAAGCTCCCGGCTGTTTTTCGCTTGCGAAGCTCCTCAGGACCTGCGCCGGGAACTGGCGCTCATTCAACAGGCCGTACTGCTGCGGGAGTGGCATGGTTTTCGGTTTCAGGGTTGAGTTTTGTGTTTCAGGTGGTCAGAGTAGGTCCTTACCACGACAGGGTTCAAAAACACACTGACAAGATTTCTAACCACAACGACAAGCTATTTTCAAACACTGACACGGGCCACGGGTTTAGGCTCAACCCTAGCAGTATGTGCTGGTGTGGAGCGGAGTTCTCACTCCGAGAAGATTTGCATCAAGACAAAAGTGTAAGCTTGACACATGCAATTCAATCATGCCGCCCCCCCTCTCCTCCGCCACATGCGGGGGAATCACCTTTTGTCGGATGTAGGCTCTGTTTTTGACAAAATGGTGATTCCCATGTGCCCGACTTTGGAGGATTTAGGCTTTGAAAATGGCACAACATGTTCTTCCCCCCGCCTCGCCACCGGGAGAATCACCATTTTGGAGGATTTAGGCTTTGAAAATAGCAAAATGGTATCCCCCCCCTTCTCGCCCGCCAAACGAGGCTCTGAAATGGCAAAATGGTGATTCCCACGCCCCCCTCAACCCTCCCCCCCCTCTCTCCCCCCACTACACGGGAGAATTCCCCCTCTCCACCACCACACGCGGGGGCATTAAGCTCTGAAAATGGATTTGGAGGATTAAGCCTCTGAAAAAAGCAAATGGTAATTCCCGCGCATCCCCCCTCTGCCCCGCGACACTTGGGGGAATCAGCATCTTGGAGGATTTAGGCTTTCAAAATGGCAAACTTGTGATTCCCGCGTTTGCCCCCCTCTCCACCACCACACGCGCGGGGAATCTCCATTTTGGAGGATTTAGGCTCTGAAATGTGGGGGGGCGGGGGGCACGTGCGGGAATCACCATTTTGCCACTTGCTGATGCTGGTATGTGCTGATGCAGCTGATGCCTGAACGTGGTGAGGCTTTCATGCCTCATCGTGTGGTGAGATTTTCAAAGGTGGTCTGCAGGAGCTACACCCCTGAAGGTGGCCATCCTAAATCCGAAACTCCCAAACCCCTGCTCGCCAAGAGCCCTGGTCCTTGAAGGCTGGCCTCCTCTGCCTGAGCTGACTGCGCGCTGCTGGCGGAAAAAGGATCGCGCAGAGCGGCGGAGGGCTGGACTGGGCCTCGTTTATGTGTTGACTCGAGAGCCTTGGAACTTGGAAGCTGCGGTGCAACGTGGGTTTCGAAAGCCTGTTGTGTTGGAGCGCAGACTGTTGGTGAGCCGAACAGGAGGAAGAGCAGGCGTGAAAGCAACAACAATCAGAGTGACGTCTCTGGTCTCGGGGGCACTGCGGACCATGCTTGCTTGCTACCGCTACAGGATGATGGGGACTGCAACGCAAGACAGGTGTCAGCCACTGTTATCTTTGCTGTGGGAAAAGGAAGGTGTTAGAAGTTCATGACTCATGCCACTTCATGTTCGCGAGAACCGGACATCCAGCCTAAGACCTGTACTACGCTGCCTCGGACGGCTTGCATTCCAAGAGATTCTAGATCCGCGTCCAAGAGCGTCCGACTCTATCCGCAGGCAAGCCTCCTCCTCAGAACTCATGGGAATGCAAGTTTCTTCCGGGCTCCGCCTCCATTCCCATCCTGATAGTTTCGGCTAGAGTCCTCACAGCCGTTCTGGATGCAATGGATGCTGGTCGGCGTTAAGTACCACCACATTCTTTGGAGGTTCGTTCGAGGTCGATAATGCTCCAAAAGCTTTACATGTCTTCCACATCACTGCTCAATAGCTGGCAAGCTGCCTGGACTGCTGTCAGTTTGGTCGCAGTGGCAGAGCATTTCGGCCACAGGCAGCTCTTGCGGGTGATAGCGGACGTGCTTTCTCCCACGTAGGCATGCGTGGTCGGCCAACACTACAGGTCGCACTGCTCAATAGCTGGCAAAGCATAGAATCCGCTTTGACAGTTTGGTCGTAGTGCTAAAGCGGAGGGGCCTTCTTTGCGGCAGCTGTGGTTGCTCACGACAGCAGCGCCAAAAAGTGAAGGCCGTCACTATGCGTAAGTTCGGCGCTCCAGCTTGCCTGAGCCAGCACACAGCAAACACTCGCTGCAAGTCATGACGAGCTACTGTGACAAGTTGGACACATCCGAAGCATGGGGGCAGCAGGACGAAGACACCTGAGTGTGCCTTTCGGCACAAGGGCTCATACAAGTATCTCGAACGAATATCGTGTGGATCACTACAGGTAGCTGTGTGAAGTTTGCTTTTCAACCTCACCCTTCCATACACAGCAGTGGCCGCCCCTGCGCAGGCTTCTCGTGTCGGGAAGGCACCGGCGCAGGAGGACCTCCAGGCGGCGATCCCACGCAAACTCCAACAGTCCATCCTGGAATCAAGAGCATTTCTGGCCTCAGTGGGATCCCGAACCCGGGAGGCTCCAGACTGGAACCAGCAAAGATCGAGCTTGAGTTTTCTGTTTCGGGTTCCGTGAATCAGTGCTGTACCGCCGTCAAGCCTCCACTGCCTCAACCCGAAGTTCTTCACCCGACGACTCAGCGTCTCGGCTCCGCTTCGTCCGCCTCCCTTGTGCCCCCGCGCTCTCTGCATCATGGCCCTGCGACGCTTCAACGCCGGCGGAAAGAAGCAGAAGGCCCCCGCACGGTAGAGTTGGAGTGACTTCAGGGGTGATTGCTAACAAGCCGGAGTACAGGTTTGCTGTCTAGAGCAGACCTGTGGAGGTTTCTGTCCGAGTTTCATACGACAGCAAATCGACGCACAGTTTTTACAACTCAGTACCACTTCCCTGTTCGTCGTCGCAGTTCTGCTTTTTGTATAGACCGCTGCAGCCGTCCCACCGAACTCCCTGTGAAGACTGAGCTTTGCTTTTCACGCGGCGGGTGCGAACATCAGGTAAGGTCGACACTAGAACCATGGGTTCACACACGGCTGCTGTCGCCGCCGTGCGCGCAAGTAGTTCGGGCCACAGCATCAGAAATTCAACATAACACAGAGCACTCTCAGCTCAGTCTGAGACGTTTTGCCGACGCCGTTTCACGGAGAGGATCTAGAGGTGCCCAATGCTGCAGACTTCTCAAGGCCTTTGGAGCACGTCCGGCAACTTTCCGACATTTTCCATGCCCCTCATGCCGACCTCAGGGCAAGAAGTGCCCCAACAATCACTTCAAAAAACTAACACGACGTTCGTGTAGAAGAATTGTTACGCCGCTGCACTACCGAGCTCATGGAGGGCCACGACGGGAATCCCAAGAGTGCAATGCAGAAACAGCGAACGGTGTCGCAACGGTGTGACTTACCAAGGGGAGCGAACACAGGGAGTTGGATCGTCGCATGAAGTCCGTAGGGAGCAGCAACTGTTGTGAAGGATCCTCAAGTGAAATTGTCTCAGATGCCATTTCGCAGATGTTACAATACTACAGGCACCACAGTGACGCAGCGACGACTGTTGTGTTGTAGGATTGTAGGGGCTACAGTAGCTACAGATCCGGATTCCAAAAGGCACCCCAAACACGCATGTTTGAGAAATCTATGCTTTGGACCCATAGCGCATTTCGAAGGAACTTCAATCGCATTTCAAACTCACTTCAAACGCATTTCAAGCGCACTTGAAAGACGTCCCAAACGCAATTTCCCAGATGCCGCCAGTCACACTTCAAATGCACATCAAACGCACTTTTCAGAATACAGCATCTCCAGGTTTAACAGGCGGCAGTTTTCACAATTTGTACATGACACAGCAAGGACGCCTGTTTGGAACATGTGTCGGGAAGTCCACTTCACGGATTGCCCACAGGAAATATGCAAGTGTCGACACATCAAGAATGCGGGTGTTGCAGCGCGTGGTTGGCTTCTACTTCTTGAACTATCCCAAGTGAAACGGCTCCCGCCGCCAGCATGCAGTCATTTTGTGCTTCTCTGCTTACACTATTCATTCACGACAAATGTCTATTGTTTGTGGCAAGGCTTCCATGAGAGCTGGCCTAGTGCTCCGAGTACTGACACGGGCCGTTTCCCTGAGTCGGTATTGCAGGAGCTGACCGAGGAGCAGAAGCAGGACACCAGTGTATGCCTGTGTTTTACATGTTTCGGAATTCCTTTGGGCTTTGTAGTCTGCACCGAAGTGACAAAAATCGGTGCGGTCGGGGAAGTATTTCGACAGTCTTGTCCGAAGGTGTCATAGCGTTTACGGACGTTCCGTCTGCAGGAGATCAAGGAGGCTTTTGACCTCTTCGACACGGATGGCTCAGGCAGCAAGTAGGACCATCGACTTCTGGAATCCGTGCCCATACCAAGACAATGCAGTCACGTCGTTGCTGCAGCACGAAGAACCACGCCATGGTATTTGGGATTTGTGTAGAAGGGCCCAGCAATACACTTAGTGGCCCCCCGCCACCATGGGTCGAATATTGTATGGAGGGTTGCGAAGTGAAGACGAGGTGATAGGGAACGACTGAACGACGTGGGAAAAGTATCGGAAGCCGGAAAGCGGAGGCGAGATCGACTCCAAGGAGCTGAAGGTGGCCATGCGTGCCCTTGGCTTCGAGCCCAAGAAGGCCGGTGGTCGGAATGGTGGCGTCGTGGTTTAGGAATCAAGCACAAAGCGGCTCGGGCTCCTTCGACTGAATTCCCACCCAGAGCATGACGACTGTTGACTTTGCTAGATGCTTTGGCCTCTCTGGCACAAAGTTCTCCAGGAAGAGATTCAGAAGATGATCTCAGACGTCGATGACGACGGCAGTGGCACCATCGGATACGAAGAGCTTCTTGGCAGACTCGGATCTTCCGCCACTTTCTTCTCGCTCTCTCTCTCTCTCTCTCTCTGTTCCTCTCTCTGTTTCTCATCCTACCATCCCTCTGTCTGTCTCTCCACAGCGAGTGGCCTTTCTGAGGTTCCTGAAGATGATGACCCACAAGATCCTGAACCGAGATCCGCAGCTCGCCTGCCTTGTAAGTGGATGTAAGTGGAGGGTCCCATGCCAGGGCTGCCCCGGCACTGCAAGGAAGGATGAGATCCTCAAGGCCTTCCGGCTCTTCGATGACGATGAGACCGGCAAGATCTCTTTCAAGAACCTGAAGCGCGTAGCCAAGGACTGAGGGTGGGAGAGTTTAGATTGCCGAGGTTAGACTGAATTCGTTTGATGGTTCTTGCTGTGAACAAGAGCCGATTGATGCTGTCTCACCATGTGACCCTGCCACCAGCTACCTGTCACTGTCCTAGTGACGAACGTCGCTCTTCATGGGAGGAGCTTGGCGAGCGAATGACAGACGAGGCTCTCGGGGATACGACTCGAAGTGTAGTTCGAGCTCGCTGGGTCCTTTCCACTGACGTCCCACTCCGTTTGCGGTCCTCGAGCCATCAACAGGAGCTCCAGGAGATGATCGACGAGGCTGATCGAGATGGCGACGGCGAGGCAAGCGCGAGCTGCAGTCCAAAGCCTGGGGATCCTCAACGTCATAGCTGGCCGTTTGAAACGTAGGCCTGCATTCCAAGTTGAAAAAGAAGCCGCGGCAGGTAAACGAGGAGGAGTTCTTGCGCATCATGAAGAAGACGAACCTCTTCTGAGCAGCCTTGAGCCACATACCCGTGGCGGCAGTCTGATGTTCACAACAGCTTTGCGGCTGAAGCAAAGTACAATAAGGATTCGGAAAGCAGAGAGAATGAGCCAGTGATGCATTGGTCACGCAGGGTCAGTAGCTTCTTTCCCACGTCAGCTGCAGGGTGAGAGTCAGCCCTCTCAGCAAGCTTGGGCTCGATTCGCTTCAAGCTGTTGTTTCACACTTGCTGCCAAAAATGGCCCCCACATCCAGGCTTCGCATGCTCCAGTCATCCACAATTTGACCTCTCATCTGCCTAGTCACAGGGGTGCGTTTGCCAAATGTATGCTACATGCATCTATGTGCGTGACCTTTGCAATGCAGCACGAATCAGGACTGCGAGCAAAAGTGTTCGGGCAGCAGGGTCGGAATAGGTCGGACTTGCTTGGTCGTGACCAGAGTGACTGGAACCGGTTTGCAGACAGGCAGCAGCAAAAAGCAAATACAGGTAGCATTCAAAAGGATGAATGATGGATGATGATTATCAGTATGAGGTGGTTCAGGACGATCAACTCGCAGGACTCTTGGCTCGCGTTGACCACCTGCTCGCAACCACTCTTCGCAACATGGCCCTGCGTCGATTCAACGCCGGCGGAAAGAAGCAGAAGGAGCACAGCGAGATTGTCAAACAGGGCAGTCTTTGTGGTCATTTTGCACTCTGCACAACGTGGATCGTTGAGGTCCTGAAATCCTCAAATCAAACTGCCACCTCCATACCCCCGCCGGAAGTGCCCAGGAGCTGACGGAAGAGCAAAAGCAGGAGATCCATCGGGCACCTGCAAGATCAGTATGTCTACATGGGAGAGTGACAAGCACGTGCACAGAAAGCTCTTGGCCTTGACTCCCTGCCCTCCGGAGGAAATCAAAGAGGCCTTCGACTTGTTCGACACGGATGGCTCAGGCAAGCGCAGACTCAACTCCCAAGCCATTTTGCACGCATCACTTCAAGTTGTAGTGATACTAGCAATTAGTAACTAGTACCTCATGTCATGATCGAATTATAGAATCCATCACCCATCTTCAAAACTGCGGAAAAGGCGAGATCGACTCCAAGGAGCTGAAGGTTGCAATGCGCGCCCTGGGCTTCGAGCCCAAGAAGGCTCCGCAGCTCCCAGGGTTCGAGACTTTGAGGGCCGCTGAGGCTCCACAGACAGACACTTATGCTTGACCGTAGCGAAAACGTGTCATTACACATGTGGAACAGTGCATGCTGGGCAGTGTGGTGTGTGTGTTCATATATAGACGTATCATATCATATCATATGTATATATATATATATATATTTGTATATTTAGTACCCCAAGCAGTGAAGCCAAACCAGAGCAATACCTAGCTTTGGCAAGGAGGGGAGACACAGCCACCTGGCACCAAACGAACGGATTCTAAAGGAAACAGCAAGCATCGAACATCCGGCATTGGCCACCCATGAAGCAAAAAACGTCGGAGTTCTCTTTCTGAGGATCTAGCGCCTCACACGTTAAACTGTCTCGGGGAGTTTGCAAAATAGGTGAGGTGTTTGTCGCTTGGAATATGTGCATAGATGCGGATGTTTGTGGGTACACAGCAGTACATTGATAGTGTCTATATTCTCAGCATACAAGGAGCAGTACGGGTGCTTATGAAGGCATGAGTAATCCGGAGGAAGAAATCCAGAAGATGATTTCCGACGTGGATGACGATGGAAGCGGCACCATTGGCTATGAAGAGCTGCTCGGCTACACCCTGTTGGTGCCGAGCCACTCGTGAGGCCTCGTGGGCAATTCAAAGCCCGGAGAGTCCGCGTGCCTGAGGTTCCTGAAGATGATGACACACAAGATCCTCAACCGAGATCCGCCGCCTGGCACTGGAAGAGGGGATCGGGGTTTGATCCTCATGCCCTGCAATCCATGGACGGATTCTGTGGTCTATGGTTTGGAGGTACTGCTTCATCCCATAACTCTTGCTGCTAGAGTTCTGTCGTTCCGATCCAGGAAGGACGAGATCCTCAAGGCCTTTCGGCTCTTCGATGACGATGAGACCGGCAAGATCTCTTTCAAGAACCTGAAGCGTGTAGCCAAGGAGATTGAGACGCGTTTTGTCAAAGCTCTGCATCTAATCCGAGCTGGTACACATGCCGAAGTGAGTAGACAAGGCTTGTTATAGTGCAAGGATGTGCAAGGTGAACTCCATGCCAGCAGAGGAAGGGAAGTGGAGTGCTCAACAGCAGACACGCGGGCGAGCACGGACAGAGACAGAAAAATCAGCCTCTCGGTGTCTCCCGGTCCTCCGGTTCCCCTGAGAGCCGACATAGACGTAGTACCTGCAGGAGCTCGGCGAGCGCATGACAGACGAGGCGACTCGCGGGATGCGACGCTGCTTGCTGTGCTGCTTTTTGTTTGGATTTGGCTCCTGTCGCAAGGAGCTCCAGGAGATGATCGATGAGGCCGACCGCGACGGCGACGGCGAGGCACAGAAATCCAGTGGTTTCAAATCAGGAGCTTTGTTTGCATGCTTGCACTTGCGCCGTCGCCGACGTTAAGCTGTGGAGCTGGTGCGAGGTCAACGAGGAGGAGTTCCTGCGCATTATGAAGAAGACGAACCTTTTCTGAGCCATGTGGCCCTTGGGGTGGCAGTCGAGCGTTCACAACGGCTTGGAGGAGCACTGGAACCCGTCAACCATAGAGTCGTGGAGTAAGAAGACCGGAAGACCGGCATCAACTGGCGGCTCGAGACCCCCCCTGGCTGTTGTTTCCGACTCACCACTTCCTCATGGGAATGCGATCGATCGTGCTCCTGCTGATGTCCCCGTTTGCGTTCAGATGCAGCGTGCACGGAAGCAGAGACTCCCATGTGTGCATGCTCTAAGAAGCCAATGCCTCTGGCTCCCGGTTCACATGTTCAGAGTCTCATCAGCACAAATACTTGTGCAGCTGATAGCAGCTGTTCACGAAGTGATTCATCCCTTGCCGGGAGTCCAGGAGACCGAATGTATCCTAGGCCTGCACCTGCTCCATTCACACTGACAGAATTGAAGTGGGATGCAGCGCACAAAAAAGGGGGCGGGGGCAGTCAGTCAGAACTTCTTTTCCCTCACAGCTGCCCGTTGCTGACAGGTGGCATTGGTAACCCAGCGCTTGCAGACCAAGCCCTCAAGCCCAGACCGAACCGCGTACTCAGTTTCCCAACCCTCACGTGCAATCCCACCACCCTCCACCCTCCACACGAACGACGAAGAATGTGCAGGCGGAGCCTCACGCTCAAGAAGCACTGCTGGGGGGATCGTCCGGGGGCCCATGGGAGAGCTCGAGGGACGCCCGTTCGGGGCTTGATGGATGGGTTGACTTCGCGTTCCGGTGCGGGGGCACTTCAGGTCACAGGGTAAGTGGGGTATCCGCAGCCGTGTAGCGATCCGTGCGCGAGTGATATCATGCCCTTTCTTTCTACCGGTCCAGGCCAAGAAAAAGGCCAACGCGGGAAGGCAAGGGCTAGAACAGCTGTGCCGAGGCTTACACAGATCGTCAGAGTTCCTTCCGAACCTGGTAGAAAACTGAAAATGTGGCACACTGGCACAGGGCTCCGCAGCCGCCCGCACGCCTTCCGAACGCCGGGCACCTGTCATGCGATTCTTGGGACGAGGTCGTTTTTCAAGGTTCGGGTCCAGGGCCCATCAGGGCCCAGCTGCTCCTGACGTGGCAAGTACTTGTATGTGGTAATCCAGCAGTGCGTTGGAATACCCCAAAGGTCAGTGTGTGTACCCAGCAAGCTTGCATTCGAGTGCCAGGTATCAGACTGATGAAATCAGACACGTTCGCCGAACCTCTGTCAATGTAATGCCTATCGCTTCAGTGTGTGTCTCTGTGGCTTGCAAGATGAAGGTCAACATGCGTGGTTGCGCTAGTTTTTCTAAAATATTCTTTCTGCTGTTGCTATCATCACTACGACTGATTCTTGTCCGGACTTCCTTTAGCGTCCAGGCCGTTGCGGGCTCGATCAAGACTGCCATCTCAATCACTTTTTTGATGCTCGCTCATTGCGAACATTACCACCATGAGCTCTTGTTGCTCTTGCAGTCGTTAAGCTTTGCTTTCTGATGATGGTGACTGTTACTGACATTCTGGCTATTTAGTACTGCGGTGGCGATTGTGTTTTGTTGTGCCCTGTTGTCATTACAGCTGCTGCTGCTGCTGCTGCTGCTGCAGTGGTGACTGGTGTTCCAATCACTTTCTATTCTTGCTCTTATCAGCATTATCATTCGTAACATGAATGTCGCCATTGTCAGCATACAGGAATCATCGCTAGCTGCATCATGGCTGTCGGTATTTGTCATAATTATGTGCAGTGTAATTGCTGCTCAGTACTATCAGATTCGCATGTCTATCAATCAGGCTACTGTCACCACGGGTCCCATTGGAATCATGCTGATTTTTCGGTAGTCCTGCTTTCCGTTTCATGGCTTTTGTGACTACAGCTTCGATTGAAGGCAGGACGACCATGTCAGCAGCGAGCTGCCTGAGACCCGCCGCTCGCCGAATCGTCGCATGCAGCGTACTCTGCAAGTTTGCGGTTTTCACTGGGTGCTTCGCTTGCCTGGAATGCATAGTGAAATTGAATTCCGTTTCGGCGCAGGTTCTTGGAGAACCCCAGCAGAGGCAGGTCTCACCTGCAGTGCTCGTGACTCTGAAGTCCGACATAGGGGTTCTAGTGTACGGGGTGGGGGTTTGCAGCTGATGAACACGATGCATACCCAGTTCCCTTGTGCAGCAGTCATAGAATCCCCACAGCCGGCCACTCAACAAAAACATTGTGTGGTTGGGCGGGCCGATGTCCTGAGCAAAAAAAGAGAGAGGGGTCTTCAAGGGAGGCTGATCGAGCGCCAGAGTGAAAACATTCACGCTCGAAGGCTCATGCGCTTTCCGTTACCGATTTCTGGTACTGCTGCAGGTCGAGGATGCATGCAGGAGAATAGGCATGCGAGCGGCATCAGCTCGC